AACAAACTTAATAAAGCAACATAGGTTATCTTCATGAGCTTTCACAAAATTCATAGCAGCGCATGATTTCCTCGATTGCTAATGATGTGATAAAACTTACAAAAACCCATTTCATGCTAGGAAAATATTGTGGAAGGGCTTATTACTCATGGGTTGCATCAAAAGACAAGGGATTCTCAAAATTGATTTTGGCGAGACTAATGACAATGTAAAGTGAATGTTCATTCCACAACCAATGTTTATGGAATCTTTCCCTTTATGTGATGTCACTTGAAGGTAAAATGTGTGCAAGGTGGGTTCTTTGGTGTGAAAATCAATGATGATAAAGAACATTACTTCCAAGAATAAAAAGATCTCCATCAAGGGTTCTTTATTTTCACTAGTGTCGCTCAACATTATGGCGGATATGTTGGTTGCAATATTAAAAGAAAGAAGGATTAAGGTCAAAGCCATGGTGTTCCACCCAGGGGGGTCATGATAGAATATATGTACTCATTATGAGGTTCATACCCTTATATTGCTACACCATGATAATGGATAGACAAATAGCATGGCGTTCGTGTTATGAGTTTCTTTGAAAATACTTAACAGTAAAGATTATAATTTTCCACAAGGGTGAAATCTATAAAGCTAACGGATACAATGTGTGGACAACATCAATGTCTAGGTCTTTGGTTTGTCAAGTATGTTTTTTTCCTTATATTATCTTGTATTTGGATCTGCTACACGTGTCTTCGCAATAGTGATTGGAAAGCAAAAGACCGGGTTGAATTCATTCAAACTATCATTCACGTGTTTATGAGGTCATTTGAATCTTATCGAATGTTACCACAGTTTCTGGGGGGTCATCAAAATTTCCGGTAACTGGTGGGTTACCAGAAATTCTGAGCAGAAAGAAATAATCTTGAAATGTATGACATAGATAATGTTAACTAAATGGTTAATGATTTAAGTTTGTCAGAACAAAAGTAATCAATATTCCTATCTCGTGTCATATGCAAAATTTGTGCCGTTGTTTGCATCAGCTACCAGTAAAAAAAAGTTTCTTTTGTTAAAAATACTCACAAATAAGACGGCGCATATGCTCTCTGTGGTTAGAGGGAATGCCAATGAATCATCGTTCTGTAGTCTGAGCAGCACGTCCAGCAGGTCCTCGTCGTGGGTGCTTGAGGCGCCATGACCAGTAGCTCGCGCGGCCTTGCGCTCCTCGATCACGTTGGCGATGATGCATTGCATGTGGCTGTAGCTCCTCTTCATGCACCGCGCCAGAAGCTGAGCCACCGTGCCAACCGTGACGACGGGAAGAGATCGACGAGGCAGAAGCCGCCTAGCAGGGTGAGCACCACATCTAGCTCGCGGATGTACTCGTCCTGCTGTGTGAACCTGCCGCCGAACACTGCCTGCGACACGACGTTGTTGAGCTCCATCATCTTCTCGCTGATGTTGATGCTGTCGCCGGACGCCGCAGCAGTGGCGATGTCGGCCAGGAGGTTGCCAACCTCCTCTGGCCGGATGCTCTCCATGCGCCTGACCTGCATGGAGCTGAGCAGCTCCACAATGCAGACCTTGCGCATCTGGCGCCAGTGGTCGCAGTAGGGGGCGAAGATGATGCCCCTGCCGCCACAGCCGGCGATGTCCTGCGTCGGCGTGCCCGGCCTGGTTGCGAACGCGAGGTCGTTGGTCTTCATCACCTGCGCCACCGCCTCGGCGCTGGAGATCACCACGGCTTCGACCTCGCCTAGCTTGAGGTGCATCATTGGCCCGTATCGGCGACACAGCTGCGTGATTTTCCGGTGTGGGACGAGGCTAACGACGTGGTGGAGGCTGCCGATTATCGGGAGTGTCCATGGCCCTGGCGGCAGCTGGTGCTTCTGTGGCTTGTTCTTGCCGCCGGCGCCGGCGAGCTTGAGAAGCCAAAGGGCAAGCGGCGTGCCTAGTGCAATGAAACACAAGCTGAACCACCCCTCCATGGCAGGCAGCTTTGCAAGTGCAGTGGTAGTGGTACTGATAACTTACATGTCTGGACTCTGCAGGTATATATAAATGTATAAAAGCATGCATGTTCTTTGCAGGCGACAGAGGAGCTTTCTCTCTCTGGCTGCTAAGTGAGTATACAGTATGAAAGTTTAGGCCGTTTTCTCTTGTCTGGCTACGAAGATTACAAATTGGTCTCAGCGATGGGGTTAGTACAAAAGGCATTACACGAATCAAACTCCACTTTCTACATTTCAAATCGATTTAGTTCTAATTTTATTTTCCCAGTAAAATTTCTCTATAGAAAAATATATTTAATGAGCTAATATGTAGGAGTACAACACAACCAAAATATATTTAATGATGTATATAATGGAACTAATTTGGGATTGTAAATTTTGACTTATAACAAAGCTCTGTGACTTTAAATAATTTATGGCGAAGAAAGAGAGAGCGGCGTTTGGATCCTGGCCTTAGATGAGCCCGGGTGTGAACAGTAAATTGGTCAAAAATAGTAAAAAAATTCAAAAAAAATCATTTTTTCGTGATGAAAGATGCTTCAGTGCGAGATGTCCGTGCCAAATTTGGTGAAGTTTGGACATTTTAGGATCTGTTTGCAAAAAACAATCAAGCATTTGAGGAAGTTTGATGTTCTGCACTGTTCGGAGGTCGTTTTGTGTTTTTTGACATGGCTCATCGAATGTCCAAACTTCACCAAATTTAGCACGGGCATCATGAACTCAAGCATCTTGCACAAAAAAAAACAGAAGCTATGTGGTGAAGCTTCTGACTATTGGTCTGGTTTGGTTTGTGACTGCATCTTCCTTCAAAAAGCATAGAAGTTGTTTTTTCCGCCGGACGTATCTTTTAATACTAAAACATACATGCTCTTTTTCTGGCGGCTATGTGGCGAAGCTTCCGGCAGAGAAGGTTTCTCTATTCTGGCTGCTAGCTGCGTATGAAAGTTTGGGCCGCTTTCTCTTCTCTGGCTGCTAACTGAGTATGAAAGTTTGGGCTGCTAAGATTGCAAATTGGTCTCCCTAGGTTAGGCTGGTCACAGTGGGGAGGAACTTAGGAGTAACATCACACACTTCAATACAACTTTGCTTATGTGGCACGTATTTAGTGAAGAGAGAGGTGCTTGTGGTAACTAGCTAAGTTACCGGAACATCACACACTTCAATAAACAATGAGTCTATAACCTAATAAATACATCGTTGCATGACACTACATAGATGTTCCTACCCATTATGGTGGTAGTAACATAGTCTAGGGAAATGTGAAGTTACTAGCTTATGTTCTTGCCCATTGTGACCAGCCTTAGACTAGCCACAATGGAGAGTAACATACAGTAGTAACATACACATATCCCTAGACTATGTTACTACCTCAATAGTGGATAGTAACATAAGTGTGGTAACATGCAAAGCTTCATTTATTAGGTTATAGACTCATATTGCATTGGGACATGTGATGTTACAGTAACTAGCTAAGTTACTAGTACTACATCTCTCCTCATTAACTCACTGCCACATAAGCAAATTTGCTGAGTTGGACTCGATGTTACTACCGAAGTTACTCCCACTGTGGCTAGTCTTAGTGCAAAAGTCATTAGAAGCATCGAACTCCACTTTCTCCATTTCAAAGTAATCGAAGTTCTTGTGTTTTCCCTTGTTAAATTTCTCTGTAGAAAAGTTCATGAGCTAATCAATGTTTTAAATAGCGGGCTATGGAAAATAGTGACGGGCCTCCAAATCAGCTATAGCGGAGCTCTAGCCGGCTATTTAAAACTATGGAGCTAATACATACAACACGACCAAAGTACATTTGATGATGATGGTAAATTATGCCTGATAGCAAACCTATGAATTTATATAATTTAGAGCGAAGAAAGAGGTCTAGTATTGTACACTATTTTTGTCATCAGCAATCTAGCCGCGAATAATTTAAATTTTGTCATACTATCTTTAAATTTTGTCATCAACAATCTAGCCGCCACCAATTTAGTTCTCTACACCAATAAGTCTCTACTTGTATATAGTTGCATACACTAGGCAGTTCATGAGTCAGCAGGTCCAGAGTCTTAACAGAACTTGTAGGTGGTCACATAAATATACCGGGTCTCACTCCAAGCTGCACTTGCTAACAGCTTGGAGCCTGCCATGGAGGGCTGGTTAAGTTTGTGTTCCATAGCTCTATGCACGCTTGTGGCCCTCTGGTTTCGCAAGCTCTCCGGGGGCAAGAGAAAGCCACAGCTGCCTCCTGGGCCATGGACTCTTCCCTTCATCGGCAGCCTCCACCACGTCGCCAGCATGCTCCCGCACCGCAAGATGATGGAGATGTCTTGACGGCATGGGCTGCTGATGCACCTTATGCTCGGCGAGGTCCCAACGGTGATCGTCTCCAGCGCCGAGGCGGCGGCGCTGGTGATGAAGACCAATGACCTTGCCTTTGCTGGCCGGCCTCGCAGCGCGACGCTGGACATCTTCGGCTGCGGCGAGAGAGGCATCGTCTTCGCCCCCTACGGTGACCCATGGCGCCAGATGCGCAAGGTCTGCACCGTGAAGCTCCTCAGCTCCAAGCAGGTGAGGCGTATGGACGGTATCAGGCCAGACCAGGTGGGCAGCCTTCTCCATTATGTCGCGGACGCGGCATCCACGGGTGTCGTCGTCAACGTCAGCGAGAAGGTGATGGCGCTCAGCAACGACGTGGTGTAGCGGGCGGTGTTTGGCGGCAAGTTCCCGCAGCAGGAGGAGTACCTCCGGGAGCTAGATGAGGCGTTCGTGCTGCTAGGTGGTTTCTGCCTCGTCGACCTCTTCCCATCATCGCGGCTGGTGCGGTGGCTGAGCAAGGGAGAGCACCACATGAGGAGGAGCTATGGCCACATCCAACGTATCAACGCTGATGTCATCGAGGGGCGTAAGGCGGCGCGAGCTGCCACACAGGACGGTGCCTCCAGCACTGACGATGATGACTTGCTGGACGTGCTACTCAGGCTGCAGGAGAAGGACGCGTTCACATTCCCTATGACCACGGAGAGTATAGGTGCCGTCTTATTTGTGAGTAATTTTCTTTATGCTTCTTATTAATCTACCGATGTCATATCATATCTGCAAAGTTTTAATGCAAAAAAGCTAGCTTCATCATTTCATAAATCTATTAGTCTCAACTTGTTTCATAGATTTATAAATGTAAATTATTGTATCTGAAATTGATTATTTGTTGCGTACTACTATATATGTAGAAACAATATATAAACATACATACCACAACAATATTTTTCAGGACATATTTGCAGGTGCCACACAGACCACGGGAGTTGCCTTGGAGTGGGCAATGGCTGAGCTCGTCCGTCATCCCGAAGCCATGGCCAAAGCACAGCTTGAGATCCGAGAGGTGCTAGGTCAAGGCCGAGCTGTGATTACTAATAGTGACCTCGCTGAACTCCACTACATGCGGATGATCATTAAGGAGGTTCTTAGACTGCATCCACCAGGTCCTTTGATCCCCCATAGGGTCAGGGAAGACTGTAAAGTTATGGGTTTTGACATGCTTGAAGGCACCAATGTATACATTAACGCGTTTGCAGTTTCGAGGGATCCAAATTGTTGGGAAAGTCCTGAAGAGTTTAAGCCTGAAAGGTTTGAGAACAATAACATGGATTACAATGGGACATACTTTGAATTCACCCCCTTCGGTGCTGGTCGGAGGCAGTGCCCTGGGATACTTTTCGGCACGTCAACTATGGAGATCGCCTTGGAAAATCTTCTCTACCACTTCGACTGGGTGCTTCCTGGCAAGGCAAGCCCGGAATTTTTGGACATGACCGAGAAATATGGGATCATCGTAGGAAGAAAATATGACCTACAATTGATACCTATTTCCCGTGGAGGTTTCCATGCCACATAGACATAGATGGTCGTGCATTGCCACATAGATATGTCTGTACTTTTGTTGATCTATACCAATATGTATCATTGCACCAATAAGAATAAAAGAACCTCGTTGAACTTGCAATATATTATGGTGGATGACGCAAACTATTGATTGTACCAAAACATGAAGTTTGCACTTTTTAAATTGCCCCTGGTGACGATGGGTTAGTTACTGTATTGATGCATGTTGTATGGACCAAATTTCAAACTAGTTTCATGGTCTGATATCCTCCGTGTAAAATGCAAGGACTGACCTATAATTTCTTCTTATTTTTTCTTTTGGGTCCTTTTGGAAGATGTACTGCTAGGTTTATCAAATGAGATCTGGTTCCTTTGGACCGACTTTGCTAACAGTAATGGTCTCGGCCAAGCATTCATGGGTGCGTCTAACGTGCAAGCAGCACTAGGTTACTGACTTGGCATGCTGTAGGCCAAATGTAGCTTGATGTTTTTCTATTCTCTGAGCTTTTGCACTGTTCACATCTGGTTTAGTCTACGGACCAACTTTTTCTCATAAAATAAACTGGTTTTTTTATTATGAATCAAAAGGAAATGTGAGCCCTATTGATAAGATTTTACAGAAAAACAATTATCTCGGTCATTCATTTTCTGAACGGACTACGGTAATCTCTTGCCACATTTTTGGGGCTAGTGGTGTATCCACTATACTGAGACTCTATTACTCCATAGTCTATAGACCATAAGCAATTACTCTCTCTTTTCAGTCTGCTCTCACTTTCAGTATCACTAATTTGTTGTAAAAATCCGCTATCCTTGAACTCTGTAATCATCTCTGCGGGCTGCAGTGGCAACTAATATACAGTGTCATCTTCCTAACTCCCACCTCATTAAGTATGTCGCTTTTTTTTTAGAAAAGGAGGATGACCCCCGGCCTTTGCATCTGGGCGATGCATACGGCCACTTTATTAGTTATTCTCACAGGACCTTACAAAGTAATAAAGCAGTAAGACTAAAGCCGCCGTCTAAGCAACAAACTATCGCTACACCTATCCAGTTGATGACGGGGCACAGATAGCCTGGGCCGAACAGACATAGCAGCCAAACCTAACATCTAAGACCTGAGGTCCCATCCAGGACGCCTGCCGGGCATGGGTCTCACCGGTCCGGCGTGCACTCAGAGGCCGCCGCCACCAACTGCCACCGCTCCATCTTCAGAACTGTACTGATGCATCAACCTTGCTCGGTCCAGCTATCGTCGACGCCACCAAGGCGCCCAACGGCACCTCCTCCCTGCACGCAAACAGCTGAGCACGTCGCAGTCGCCACTGATACACCTCAGCACCATGCTGCCAATTACCACCAGCCGACACAGCTTGAAGTCTTTGGAAGATCTGTCGTGCGTAGCACGTGCCGACCAGGCATGACAAGGCGTAGCACCTGTCGGTCAGGCATGACTTGACATCTCCACCGAAGCTCCGTGCAAGACGAAGCCGCTCCACCTCCAGCCTCTCTGAACGGGAGCACCCCAGGAAGACACAGCGAAGAGTTGAGCACCACCATCACCATGAGAGCCAGACCTAGCCGACCGCCATGGCGAAGTGACACCACTAAAGAGAGAACCGCCGCCATCAGGAACGCCAAGAACGCGCTGCAACTGTCCCACCTCCCTGCGGACCCAAAGTGGCGCCTTCAAGAAGGTGACGGAGCCGGGCACCGCCGCCACCCAACCAAAGTTGTGGGTTTTCACCCGGGTGCAGGGGGAGGACGAGGGGGAGGGAGCTGGACCTCGAAGCCGCCTTCAAGAAGGAAACAACGCCTCGAGCACCGCCGGTGTCGTGGCCGCCGCAGCCGGCCAAGAAATTACTCCGATCCAGAGCTCCCAACCCCACATCCACGCAGTCAGCCACCGGATCTGGCCGGACTGATGAGGAAGCAGCAGCATGGGTGCACCGTCTTTAGATCTGGCGAAGGAGAGCGGCAGGGGATCCCTCCACGCGGCGCCCGCATCCA